CCCTTTAAATCAGGGGTGTCAAACTCAAACTCACACGGGGCCGAAATGAAACTCTGGGACGGAGTCGAGGGCCAAACGTAATATTTTTTGAAAAAGTGACGGCAAATTTGAACATTTTCTTTATCAACATATATGCAATTTTGAACCTTTAAATTTGGAAACAAACTTATTTCTGCATTAACACTGAATGTGGAATAACCTAATTACACACGAGCAAGTCAGCTTTAAATAAAACACATCAGTGGTATTCATTACTTGTGGTATAATCAGCATTTTTAAAATCTATTCAGGATTTATGTTTTCTTGTTTATTCATTTTTCTTATTTTTTATTCTCCTTTTTTTCTCCTGTAATACGTGTCATCGCTGCTGTGACGTCTAGCTTTCCCCACTGAGGAACAATAAAGGGATTTTCTATTCTATTCATCTATCTGCAGTCTTTCCACTTCCTGTTTACTGCAGGTTAAATCTTTTCTCACGGGCCAACAACAAAATAAAAATATCATTTTATCTTAAATGAAAATGCAACATCTCACCTGTTAACTTTCATGTTTTGGAGCAGAAAAAGAGCATAAAACCAACATATTTAAAGCTCAGTTTGTTCCACTGGTTTACTGTGATGCTCACCTGTTCCAGCCAGATACCTGCATCATGGGGTTGATCTGAGCTGAGGAGGAGACTCCTGTTGTTTTGTTCATCTTCATCATAATAATGACAACATTAGATGACAACAGGTGCTCACATAGGTTTGTGCTGCTGAACATGTCTGAGCAGCTTGACCGCGTTGTTGTGTGTTGGGGAGGAAACACAACCACAGAGTCGTGCTGGTTTGAGCGTGTCGCTGCTCGCTGGAGTTATATCAGCTCTGTCTGGACGTTAGTTGGAAAACTTTCTCTTTAAGTCGTGAACACATTACTGAGCGGCTAGAATCTCCGTTTCTGGGCTTCAACGTCAGAAAACAGCTGAGTGAACTCGGCGCTGAGTGAGAGGAGTGTAGTTTGTCCGAGACAGCGGAGCTGCACACCGGCAGCAGGCGCTGGAAAAAACACAAAGGAAGGGGCGCATCGGCTCTGCGCTGACGCCGCAAAGCATCATGGGAGTTGTAGTCTTTGCGGTAAAATCGGCCAGCGGGCCAGTTTTAATATATTTTTGATATTTATCTCGCGGGCCACATAAAAATGCTTGGCGGGCCGGGCCTTGAGTCTGACATATGTGCTTTAAATTATCTTTTGTTTTTGGCTCATGGAATAACTTTTCTAACTTTACAAGGTATTTACAATCATATTCTGTGGCACATACAACATGTTTGAGGGGATCTGTTTTGGCGGCCTAAGGATTGAGACTCTGCTTCTTGCAGATGATGTGATCCTGTTGGCTTCATCAGAACGTGATTTCCGGCTTTCGCTGGAGCGGTTTGCAGCCGAGTGTGAAGCAGCTGGGATGAGAATCAGCTCCTCTAAATCTGAGACCATGGTCTTGAGTCGGAAAAGGGTAGAATGCCTTCTCCGGGTCAGGAATGAGGTCCTGCCCCAAGTGGAGGAGTTTAGGTATCTCGGGGTCTTGTTCACGAGTGAGGGAAAGCTGGAGCGTGAGATCGATAGGCGGATTGGTGCTGCGTCTGCAGTGATGCGGGCGTTGTACCAGTCTGTCGTGGTGAAGAGAGAGCTGAGCCAGATGGCAAAGATCTCAATTTACCGGTCGATTTAGGTTCGGATAAGCGGATGAAAATGGATGGAAGGATTTAGTCACAATTTAGTCATCTAATTTGTTTGAATTTCAGGCGACCAAAGTACACACATTTCTTCTGATGATTTTCAGTGTCAGTAAAAGAAATGTTAACGACACCTACTTGAAACGGTGAAGAAGTGTGAAAAATTCACATTTGACACATTGGATCAATTAAACTCTGTAATTATGAATGTTTTACTAACAATAAACAATGAAAAATGCAAAGCACTTGACAGGCGTGGTCGAAACACACATCCTTACTTTTCATTTCAACTGAAATACAACAGTTGTGTGATTCAGGGCGTAGCGGATTAGAAAACAGCTCTTTTAGCAAGGGGCAGAGCCATGGGTGGGCCTTGGTGGGCACAGGCCCACCCATGGCTTATCCGGAGTTGGGTCGCGGGGGCAGCAGCCTAAGTCGAGAGGCCCAGACATCCCTCTCCCCAGCCACTTGGGCCAGCTCCTCTGGGGGAATCCCAAGGCGTTCCCTGGCCAGGTGAGAAACATAGTCCCTCCACCGTGTCCTGGGTCTACCTTTAGGCCTCCTCCCGGTTGGATGTGCCCGGAAAACCTCACCAGGGAGGAGTCCAGGAGGCATCCTGACCAGATGCCCGAGCCACCTCAACTGGCTCCTCTCGATGTGGAGGAGCAGCGGGTCTACTCAGAGCCCCTCCCGAATGACCAAGCTTCTCACCCTATCTCTAAGGGAGAGCCCAGCCACTCTTCAGAGAAAACTCATTTCAGCCACTTGTATCCACAATCTCGTTCTTTCGGTCACTACCCAAAGCTCATGACCATAGGTGAGGGTAGGAACGTAGATCGACCGGTAAATCGAGAGCTTCGACTTCTGACTCAGCTCTCTCTTTACCACGACAGACCGGTACAACGCCCGCATCACTGAAGATGCAGCACCAATCCGCCTATCGATCTCACGCTCCAGTTTTCCCTCATTCGTGAACAAGACCCCGAGATACTTAAACTCCTCCACTTGGGGCAGGACCTCATCCCTGACCCGGAGAAGGCGTTTTTCCCTTTTCAGAATCAAAACCATGGTCTCAGATTTAGAGGAGATGACTCTCATCCCAGCTGCTTCACAATTGGCTGCGAACCGCTCCAGCGAAAGATCACGTTCTGATGAAGCCAATTGGATCACATCATCCAAGTGGTGCTCGCTGCAGAACCACAAAGGCGGAGTTGCACCAGAAGGTGGAGCTGCACCAGAGTCAGCCCCACCCATTCCATCAGAGTCAGTCCAATTCCTTCCAGTTGTCAGACTTGATAGCATTCTGGAATCAAAGAGGGTGTTATAGCTAATATCATCTAAAATGCAAGATTGAGGACTGAGTTGAGAAGTTAATTGAACAGATTTTGTAAAAGTTCCATATAATTAAAAATCTAACTTTTGGAACTTTTGACCATGTTATATTGTCATTTCCTCATAAGAAACACGCCAAAGCCATTTTTGGCCTCATTCATGCATTTTCCTCCCATCTCAGCTTCAATTTGGTCTCCTCCCCCAAAGCGGGTCTGGTCTTGGTTCTCAAATCTGGATATTCTGTGAATTTTCTGACAAATTAGTTCTGAAATGACTTCTACTGAGACACCAGTGGAAAAACCATACATCCCATCTACAAAGACACACTGGAGAGCACAATTACATGTAACACCACCTGCTTTTTATTAGATGTAGTGGTGAAGTGGCTAAAGAGTCAGATTCACATATAGGTTTGCGCAGGTTCGCCTCCCAGTAGCGGAAGTACATAGATAGTTTAAAACCCTTTTTCTTCTGTTCTACCTACACTTGCCAGTACTATGTTTACAACCATTTATTGGTACACCGTTTAAACTATAATGACTAATGTTTTTTTTATTTGTTTATTTAGCCAGTGTGAGTCCATTTGTGAGCAGAGTTTCAACTAAAATGCTGTTTAGGAACAACCAAATTCAAAGAACTTTTGCAGAAAATAAACATTTCAACTAAAATATAAACAAATTAAATGTTTCACCTGGCTAAATAGATTGCTGCCGACCCCACCGAGAATCGAACCAGCATCAGCAGAGGGGAAAGCAAAACTTAAGTGGGACAATCTTACCACTGCACTACCAGAACCCATTCAATAGTTGTAAATGCTGTTGTACGCCCCTTTTGTTGGGAGTGGTTGTGGGCAGATATTCGCTGAAAGAAACCTTTTCATTTCGAGATATATTCAGGCTTTGTCATGTAGCAAGTTATATTTATCTTGCTTAATTGGAGCATAGAACATAGCATTAACAATTGTAAACTACTAACAGCCGTAATTCATGTGGGTCAGGTTAGTTTGCGATAAAGCTGAAAAACAAAAATGGAAGAAGTCAGTGGGCTAGACTGAGTTTGCGTGAATGGGCGGGGCTGACTCTGGTACAGCTCCCCCTTATGGTGCAACTCCAACTTTGTAGTTCTGCAGCGAGCACCCTCTCACATCATCTGCAAAAAGCAGAGACCTGATCCTCAGGTCACCAAAACGGATGCCCTCCACACCTTGGCTGCGCCTAGGATCCTGTCCATAAAGGTTATGAACAGAATTAGGGACAAAGGGCAGCCTTGGTGGAGTCCAACTCTCACTGGGAACAAGCCCGACTTACTGCCGGCAATGCGGACCAAGCTCTGACACCGGTCATACAGGGATCTAACAGCCCGTATCAGAGGGCCTGGTACCCAATACTCCAGGAGTACCCCCCACAGGGCCCCCCGAGGGACGCGGTCAAACGCCTTCTCCAAATACACAAACACATGTAGACTGGTGGGACAAATTCTCAAGCACCCTCCAGGATCCCCCTAAGGGTATAGAGCTGGTCCAGTGTTCCACGGCCAGGACGAAAACCACATTGCTCCTCCTGAATCTGAGGTTCAACAATCCGACAGACCCTCCTCTTCAGAACCCCTGAATAGACCTTACCAGGAAGGCTCAGGAGTGTGATCCCCCTGTAGTCGGAACACCCTGCGGTCCCCCTTTTTAAATAGGAGAATCACCACCCCGGTCTGCCAGACCAGTGGGAATTCCCCCGATGTCAGAGCCTTAAGGAACTTGCAAGCTAGTTCAAATTCAAAACAGATGACTTAGTGAACAACTGATTCAAAACAGTGAACAAAGAGGTAATAAAACACCCCCTTCATTTTCAACCTTTTCTTCCCCAATAACAAACATTTACTAACTGATGTGACACCAAAACTAACTTGCCTTTCATTTCATTTAAGAGATCTCAGATCAGAAGCACGTTTCATTCAAAAGTGCCCTTAACTATCAAAATTATTTTTTATTTGTGCTCATTCATTAAAATGTTCCAATCACATCTCAGAACCAATGCTTTTTAAGAGAAATAAAACATTTAACTCAGAAAATGGTTTAACTATGGCTCATTTCAATAGCAGAGGCTTATATGCAAATTTTGATGAGTGCGTTGTAAAACCATTAACACACATTTGTAATATTTCTTTTCAAAAAGGGGTTTTTCCGAATAGGATGAAAGTATTACGGGTAATTCCTATTTACAAAACAGGAGATAAGCATCACTTTACAAATTATAGACCAGTGTCAATACTTTCACAATTTTTCTAAAAATTAGAAAAACTATTTGTTAAAAGATTTGATAATTTCGTTGATCAATATGAGTTGCTGACTGAAAGCCAGTATGGCTTCAGGAATAATAGGTCAACAGTCCAGGCACTGATTGATCTTATTGAGGATGTAACAGAATGCATTGATAAAAAGAAGTATGCAATAGGGCTGTTTTTCGATCTGAAGAAAGCATTCATTACAGTTAACCATGACATACTGATGAGGAAAAATGGAAAAATATGGTTTCAGGGGTATAGTATTGGACTGGATAAAAAGTTTTTTTTATCAAATAGGCAACAATTTGTCCAAATAAATCAACATAAATCAAAGAGACATACAATGTGGGGTACCTCAAGGATCAGTATTAGGGACTAAACTATTCATAATGAACATAAATGACAATTGTAGGGTTTCACAAGTATTGAAGTTTGTATTGTTTGCAGATGACACGAATGTTTTTTGCTCGGGTGTAGAATTGCAACAGGTCCTGGATGTGGTCACACAGGAAATAAATACATTTTTAAATGGTTTGATGTAAATAAACTGTCACTAAATTTAGATAAAACAAAATTTATGTTATTTGGAAATGAAAGCAGATACAATGAAGTAGATATAGTAATTAATAATGTAAATATCGAAAGAGTATATGAGATTAAATTTGTTGGAGTGGTTATAGACAGCAGAATCTGTTGGAAGCCACATATAAAATATGTTGGGGGAAGCTTGTACCTGGCATTGCTATAATGGGGAAAACTAAGTATATTTTTAATCAGAAAGCAATTTATATATTATACAATACGTGCTACTGCCATATTCGAGTTATTGTGTAGAGATCTGGGGAAATACGTACAAAAGTATTTCACAAACAATAGCGACAATGCAGAAAAAGGCTATCAGATTAATAACAAATGCAGGATACTGGGATCACACAAATGAACTTTTTATTAAAACACGGACAATGAAGTTCCAGGACTTGGTTAATTACAAAACAACACAAATAGTATATAAAGTAAGAAACAAATTAATACCTGATAAAATACAGAAACTGTTCACAGAGAGAGAAGGAGAATACAACTTGAGAGAGGGATACTAAATTTAAAGATACATAATGTTAGAACAACATTAAAAATTATGTGTATCACAATAATAGGGGTTAAATTATGGAACAGTTTAGAAGAAGAAATTAAAGTAAGTACAAATATAAACTAGTGGCTGAGCCAGAAAGCCAGGCTCTCAATTTACCGGTTGATCTACGTCCCAATCCTCACCTATGGTCATGAGCTTTGGGTAATGACCGAAAGAACGAGATCGCGGATACAAGCGGCCGAAATGAGTTTCCTCCGTAGGGTGGCCGGGCTCAGCCTCAGAGATAGGGTGAGGAGCTTGGACATTCGGGAGGGACTCGGAGTAGAACCGCTGCTCCTCCGGATCGAAAGGAGCCAGTTGAGGTGGTTTGGGCATCTGGTCAGGATGCCTCCTGGACGCCTCCCTGGGGAGGTATTTCGGGCATGTCCTGCCGGCAGGAGGCCCCCGGGTCGTCCCAGGACACGTTGGAGAGATTACATCTCCAATCTTGTCCGGGACCGCCTTGGGGTCCTGCTGGAGGAGCTGGTGAAGAAGGCCAGGGAGAGGACAGTCTGGAGCTCCCAAGTTGGGATGCTGCCCCCCCGCAGTGGCACAGTGGTTAGAGCTGTTGCCTTGCAGCGAGAAGGTCCTGGGTTCACTTCCCAGCCTGGGATCTTTCTCCTTGGAGTTTGCATGTTCTCCCTGTGCATGCGTGGGTTCTCTCCGGGTACTCCGGCTTCCTCCCACAGTCCAAAAACATGACTGTTAGGTTAATTGGTCTGTCTAAATTGTCCTTAGGTGTGAGTGTGTGCATGATTGTTTGTCCTGTGTGTCTCTGTGGTTTTGTGTTACATTTGGTATAGTAATACTAAGTATAAGTAAAGATTGATATGTATAAAAGGGGTAGGGACATAAAAGTTTCGACTTCAGCCTACTCCTTTTCAGACAGAGAGGAAGAAAAAAAAGAATGATGATTTCATATATTTTTTCTGTTATTTTTTTTATTATGTATGTTTTCTTTGTTTGAGATAAAAAACTAAACTTAACTAAACTAAACTAAATAGAAAGTGAACATTTAATCATTTGCTGCAACAGGAAAGCTAACATTAATTCATTCAGAAACCAAACCTGGCACCACTGACTAAACAAAGCTAAACGTTAAAGATGTGAAAATTAAAATGACAGCAGGAATCATTGGAGTTAACGGGATACTTTGAGTCCTGTGTGGACTCTCATGTGTGATTCTAAATTAGCCTTTCGGGAAAATCTTTGTCCACAGACCTCACAAGCATAAGGTTTCTGTCCTGTGTGGACTCTCATGTGTGATTCTAAATGAGCCTTTCGGGAAAATCTTTGTCCACAGACCTCACAAGCATAAGGTTTCTGTCCTGTGTGGAGTTTCATGTGACTGTTTAAACTTGACTTTTGGGTAAACCTTTGTCCACAGACCTCACAGGCAAAAGGCTTCTCGCCTGTGTGGACTCCCATGTGAATGTTTAAACTTGACTTCACACTAAATCTTTGGCCACAGAGCTCACAAGAAAATGGCTTCTGTCCTGTGTGAGCTCTCATGTGTATAGTTAAACTTGACTTTACACTAAATCTTTGGCCACAGAGCTCACAAGCAAAAGGCTTCTCTCTTTTGTGGATTCTAATGTGTTTGTTTACATTTCCCTTTTGAGTAAATCTTTTTCCACATAGCTCACAAGCAAAAGGCTTCTGTCCTGTGTGGACTCTCATGTGTCTGTCTAAACTGAACTTTACTCTAAATTTTTTTCCACAGAGCTCACAAGCAAAAGGCTTCTGTCCAGTGTGGAGTCTCATGTGCGTGACTAAATGTTCCTTTTGGGAAAATCGTTGTTGACAGAGCTCACAAGCAAACGGCTTCTGTCCTGTGTGGACTCTCATGTGAATGTTTAAATTTGACTTTACACTAAATCTTTGATCACAGAGCTCACAAGCAAACGGCTTCTGTCCTGTGTGGACTCCCATGTGAATGTTTAAATTTGACTTTACACTAAATCTTTGTTCACAGAGCTCACAAGCAAATGGCTTCTGTCCTGTGTGGACTCTCATGTGAATGGTTAAACTTGACTTTACACTAAATCTTTGTCCACAGAGCTCACAAGCAAAAGGCTTCTGTTGTGTGTGGACTCTCATGTGAATGGTTAAACTTGACTTTACACTAAATCTTTGGCCACAGAGCTCACAAGCAAAAGGCTTCTGTTGTGTGTGGACTCTCATGTGAATGGCTAAATTTGACTTTACACTAAATCTTTGGCCACAGACCTCACAAGCAAAAGGCTTCTGTCCTGTGTGGACTCTCATGTGAATGGTTAAATTTGACTTTACACTAAATTTTTGGCCACAGAGCTCACAAGCAAATGGCTTCTGTCCTGTGTGAGCTCTCATGTGTATAGTTAAACTTGACTTTCCACTAAATCTTTGGCCACAAAGCTCACAAGGAAAAGGCTTCTCTCCTGTGTGGCTTCTAATGTGTATGTTTAAATTTCCCTGTTGGGTAAATCTTTTTCCACAAAGCTCACAAGCAAAAGGCCTCTGTCCTGTGTGGACTCTCATGTGTATGTCTAAACTGAACTTTACTCTAAATCTTTTTCCACAAAGCTCACAAGCAAAAGGCCTCTGTCCTGTGTGGACTCTCATGTGTATGTCTAAACTGAACTTTACTCTAAATCTTTTTCCACAGAGCTCACAAGCAAAAGGCTTCTGTCCAATATTTTGCTTCACTCTAACACGTTTCTTATCAATACAACAGCTTGAAGGCCTAACTTCTGAGTGATTACTTCCTGTCATGTGTTTGTGGAGAGACCACTCATGGCGAAATTCTTTACTACAATCTGGGCAGTGAAAAGATTTGCCAGCCTTAACATGTGATTTAGAAGACCTGCTCTCCTTCCAGTCGTTACAATCTTTAGTTTTAGGCTCACAGTCTGACATGAGTTTCAGCGTACATTCAGAATTGTTGCCATCTTGGTCATCTTCATTATTGCTGACTTCAGTCTCTGAAGAGTTGGAATCATCTTCATAAAGATTTAGATATGGATTGCTGGTACTTTCTGCTCCTCCACAGTCCTCTCTACCACTTACTGCTGTCATTGGGACAGTGGTGCTGCTGGTTGGAAGATCTCTGTCGTTAGGTTGGTGCTGATCCAACTATAACAACAAAACTTCTCTTCCTCCTTCCTTAAACTGACAGACTACAGAGAATGAAATGTTGGTGGCATACGTTTTAATCTCATTAAACTGCTCCTCCTATTCCTTGGTCATGTTGAGGGGCTCCAGGTCCTTCTGGTTCAAAGGAGACCTCAGTCGTTCAGAAGCTGCTTTTCAAATCAGCACCAACTGCTGAACATCTAAAGACAACACAGACACAAAAATATTAAAGTTGCAGGATTAAATATGTAATGTCCAGAATGGGTCATTTTTCATCTACAGTTTGTCCTCTTCAGTATACGGCAATCTACAGACATATTCTGCCTCTGGTGCCCTCAAATTTTCCAAACTGCAAGAAAGGTTCTGCAGCGTTGTTGACACTGAGATTAACACAGTGTTTTGCTTCACCAAGGACTTTCTGCCAAGCTGCTGCTTATCTAGACTTTTCCTCAAAGAATAAAGAATGAACTTTATAAATAATGAAATGTTAAAATAATGATGAAATGAACCATATGGTTAAATAGAACACTTAAAAAATCATATAATGAATGGACAAGCTGTTTAATAATGTTTTGATTAATCTGTGCCTAAATCAATGAGTTGAAATGAATATTATTACATTGAAATACAGTATTTACTGTATATGTTATGATCAGTAATGTTCGATATGACAAGGTAATCATGATCTACACTCACACAAACGTGTATCTTCCAGACACAAAACAGACACAACATACAGTTAAATGTCATGTCACATAGAGATTTCTTATCCACAAATCAGAGAATCTTCTATCTGGAGGAGGAGTGTTCTGAGCTTTGTTTGGTAAAACCTGCTGAACATGGCACGTTGTGATTTGCCAGAAAATCATAACATAGGAATTAAGAAAACTAAGGTCACTTCCCAAAATAAGTCAGTTTTTTGAGCAGAACTTCGGAGTGGCCAATCCGGAGGAAACTCTTTGAACCATCAAAACATTTGAACAGCCGTCAAAGCCTACCTGCAAAGCTAACACAGCTTCGACTCCATAAGAGTCCATCCTTAGACTACACACACACACACACACACACACACACACATATATATATATATATTTATTAGTGGTGTGCATCTCTACCTGCCTCACGATTCGATCCGATTCCGATTATCTGCCTAACGATTCGATTTGAGTCTGAAATGCATCACGATTCTTCACACAAAAAATTTCATTACTGAATAAAAGCAGTATAATAGTTTTCAATTTCTTTTTGATTTCGAAATCCCTGAAAAACAGAACATTCATCTATTCACTATAGTGAGCAATAATTTTTAAAGTGTGCTGCCTATAATTACTTAAATAATATAAGAAATAATGTTTTCGGTAGAGCAGCTTTAAGATAGAATATTACTGAACTTAAACATAGTAAACAAATACTGTGTTAAGTGATTCTTTCATGTCCAGGATCCCAAAACCGAAATTAGCCAAGACATCTGATTTAAATGTAGCGGGTACATCTTTGATTACATGTGTAGCGTTAGGAAGTTTATAATGGTCTGCCCTTGACAGCTGCCCCTTCACACAGTAACATCGCCAAGGTCGAACGCTTGGTTCAGTATGTTTACATTCCAGGAGAAGAGACAGAAGAACTGAAGAAGAATGCTTTTCATGGATTAATCAAAGTACTTTATTTGTGATAAGCTAATCAAAGCATTTGTTGATCATTAATAATCAGGTGAATGATCTGTGAAATAAAGATGTCATGAGTTATGTGTTTAAATGAATAAACAGGGCGGCACCAGACACACTGATATGCATTACCATGGAAACGCATGACACATTGATTTCAACCAATCAGAACTTTCGTCTGTGGTAGGGCAGAATCTAGTTTGTTTATGAAAGTAGTCCAATCCGGTTACTAAGATTCTTAAACAACTGGGAGATATAAAAAGAAGGCAACGCCACGTTAAGTTCCATTTGACATCATCTCTGCTCGATCCGAGCTCCAAGGAGTTACATCAGACTCTCAACATTGTTTTCAACCAGCTCTCAACCAATCACCGCAAAGAGGAATACAGGCTGGCCATCTGTATTTCCTGTTTTAAGCTGAGATCTGTCAAGCTGGAGATTTCCGTCGTTTTTACCAACGAGACAACGTTCTTTCAAAATAAGAGTGAACTTGCTGACACTTGCCGACTACGACCGGAGTTATCCCCAGATGGGCGTTGTGTGCTGCGACCGCTGTTTCAACCAGCTCCAGTACCCATGAAGGTCCGAGGACCTGGCAATTCCTGATCTACACGGGAGACTCCCTACGGTACGTGGTCACGGCACAATATGGCGGCTCATGTCATCAGCTTCTGAAGCCTCGTGGTAGCCTAGTCATAACAAACCAGACTCGCTACTCAGCCTAGAGATTCTGAACAAAACACACACACACACACACACACACACACACACACACACACCAACACGAAACATCCAAATCCATATGCATTCATCATTGAGATAGTCCTGGTAGATTGTAAGAATTTATAATTATAGAAATTAAAGATTCTTAAACGATCCCAACTCTCTCTCTCTTTCTTGTCTCTCAGTCAATACAAAGTGTTTAAGTAAACTCCCTGATGATAAAAACGACCTCTTCTGATTGATTACTTAGATTGTATAAATATACAAAATCAGGTAATTAAATTATCTAATTACAGTATATAAATATACAAACTTCAAATCACAACACTGGTAATGTTGGCCCTGTATCCCTGTCCGCCTTTTCTGTTTTAAATTGGCGCTAGGGCAACGCAGTGCGCATGTCATTGCAACTCTGTCCCCAGAAGTAATTGTAAAACCTCAAAACTTTATTGTCCTCGCATAGACATAGACCAGGGGTCGGCAACCTGTTCCCATCAAAGAGCCATTATTACCCGTTTTCCACAGTAAAGAAAACACTGAGAGCCACAGCAGCCGCTGCGTTGTGGGCGGGGCCTACCCTCAGACAGCAGAGAGCTGCTCACAACAGGTGACAGCAGCCGGTACCTGTCGCTCGTGTACGTCAAAGCTATCTTTCATAAAACGATAATCAATAAAACGATTTATATAAAGTGGATCCAGAAGTTGTAGCCCATCTCTGCCTACAATATTTTGATATTTTTCACCCTGTTGGTGGTTTTACTGAGCAGATGCCACTTTTGTCATACGTTTGTTTTTAAAAACATGTTTAGACTGTTCAGAATACAAATCCAGGCTCTGTCACGTTTGATTGTTGTAATTAAACTTTGTAGGTGGGGAAGGTCAGAAAAGGATCCGATCAATTTGTTTTTCCCTCATTTACAGTGACGATGATAACGGTGCAGTGCGCCTGGCTCTGGTGTTAATCAAGTTAAATTTTATCTATTTTCACAAGAAAACAGAACAGTTAAAAGCAGGGCTTGTGCTGACCGGATAGTTCCCGTATTTGGCCGTTTATTTTGATTGAGAAAGAATAGAAAGAATTACCCCGACGCAAACAGACGAACTGACACTTTATTCGTTTCGCACATCGCAGATGTAGCTAAATCACTCAAGAAATTATTCCCATCTGAACATCTGAGCTGGACACTGAGCTCAGCGCAGCTCACTGTCAGCGTGTACGTACGGTCCACAGCGAGCTGAAGATGTGAAGAGGGGCTTGGAGCACATCGCAGAACCAGAGCGCATGCAGGAAGATTCCTCCAACTGAAGCGAGACTTGTCACTTAGAAAATGTGCCCTGATTATGAAACTTTGGCTGAATAGTGCTTGTTCTTGTCTCCAATGTGGCGACACATCCAGGAGCCGTCTGAGGAGAATCCCAGAATCTCACATCCTCGTCAACTCAGACAGCACCGATATGATTACGCACAAGCGTGACCCGTCAACCCGGTCTCACAGTAAGACCGGGTTGGAACCGTTCAGGTTTACGCAGACAATCTTTACATTTAGAATTGGCATACAGATGTAAAATTAATGCAGTTAAATATAAAGCATTTTATTTAAATATCCATTCATTATTTTACAAGCACAGAGAGCCGCATCAGATGGATGGAAGAGCCGCATGCGGCTCCAGAGCCGCGGGTTGCCGACCCCCCGACATAGACATAGGGAGAGAATCTCATTATGTTACGTTGCTGCATCGATGCGGAATCATGCACGGCTGAATCGCGATGCATCTTAGAATCTATCAATTTTCCCACCTCTAATACAGGTGCTGGCCAGTAAATTAGAATATCATCAAAAGGTTGAAAATATTTCAGTAATTCCATTCAAAACGTGAAACTTGTACATTATATTCATGCAATGCACACAGACCAATGTATTTCCAATGTTCATTACATTTAAATTTGATATTCATAAGTGACAACTAATGAAAACTCCAAATTCGGTATCTCAAAAAATTAGAATATTCTGAAAAGGCTGAATATAGAAGACACCTGCTGCCACTCTAATCAGCTGATTTACTCAAAACACCTGCAAAGGCCTTTAAAAGGTCCCTCAGTCTTGTTTTGAAGGCACCACAATCATGGGGAAGACTTCTGACTTAACAGCTGTCCAAAAGACAATCATTGACACCTTGCACAAGGAGGGCAAGACACAAAAGGTGATTGCTAAAGAAGGTGGCTGTTCGCAGAGCTCTGTGTCCAAGCACATTAACAGACAGGCGAAGGGACGGAAAAAATGTGGTAGAAAAAAGTGTACAAGCTCTAGGGATAACCGCACCCTGCAGAGAATTGTGACGACAAACCTATTCAAAAATGTGGGGGAGATCCACAAAGAGTGGACTGCAGCTGGAGTCAGCGCTTCAAGAACCACCACGAGGAGACTCATGAAAGACATGGGATTCAGGTGTCGCATTCCGTGTGTCAAGCCACTCTTGAACAAGAAACAGCGCAAGAAGCGTCTCGCCTGGGCCAAGGACAAAAAGGACTGGACTGATGCTGAGTGGTCCAAAGTTATGTTTTCTGATGAAAGCAAGTTCTGCATTTCCTTTGGAAATCAAGGACCCAGAGTCTGGAGGAAGAGCGGAGAAGCACAGAATCCACGTTGCATGAGGTCCAGTGTAAAGTTTCCACCGTCAGTGATGGTGTGGGGTGCCATGTCATCTGCCGGTGTTGGCCCACTCTGTTTCCTGAGGTCCAGGGTCAATGCAGCCGTCTACCAGGAAGTTTTAGAGCACTTCATGCTTCCTGCTGCTGACCAACTTTATGGGGA